AGGTCCATCAGTGGCTCTTCGCCACAAGGTATAGGTGGAACACTCTGTCTGGGGCAAGGGATGCTCTGTCTTCTTGGAGTTTGGGGGGCAACAGTGGGAGGTTTTGTATTTCTGTATATCATATACGCTTGGGGTCCCTCTTGTTTGGCTGGTTTAGTCCAAGGCAGCTTCATGTCTGACCCCTCCCAGCGTCAGTAAGTTTGGGGGGGGCAGAGAGTTTGAAGCGGGGCGTGTTTCCCAGCCGACTCCTGAGGGGGAGGGTGACTGCAGAGGAGAGCCGTGGACCTCCCGACCCCCCTTCCCTCCCCAGGCACTCACCTGCCCGTCCTGCTGGAGGTGATGGTGCAGCATCTGGGAGTGAGGCTGCTGGTGGGCAGGCAGGATGTGGAGGAACGGGGCCGGGGCGTAGCCGGCGGCAGCACCAGGGTTCAGGGGCCCCGTGGAGCCCAGGGCAGAGGGCAGGTTGAACGGAGGTGGAGTGCCGGTGTGGAATCCCTGCTTGTCGAACGCCTGGCCGGAGGGAAATCACGGAACACGTCACACAGAGAAAGGGGTGTGCTGCTCCCACCTTACGAAGCCCCCAAAATGCGCAACGGCAGGCAGCTTGGAAGTAGAGCTTGGACTGAGGTGGGTCGGCAGGACTCGGATCAGACCTTTCGTCGCCTGAACTTTCGTTTGGGAGCCGGGGGAATGGCATTTCGGGGAGGGATTCTCCCTGAATGCCTAGGACGTGGCAGCGCGGGTGCCGCTTCAACTAGGGGGCAAAAGCGCAATTCCAGAAGTCTCCACGACTCAGTGGATGTTGGCTCATCAGCCGCTACATTTACAGGGCAGAGGCCTCAGGGAGCCCAGATTTGCCACTGTGACAGTGGGCTGCGAATGAAGCCAGATCTCTGAGCGTGGAGGACGGGGCAGGTGGCGAGAGGGGTCCTCACCTGAGTCTTGTTGTAGACTGAGCCGCTGATATCAGGCACACCCGTGTTACTTGAGGTCACAGAAACACCTGGGAAAAGGAGAGACGGGAAGAGGCTTGTGAGACCCAGGCAAGCGGCACCACCCACTTTCTCAAAACACTTGATGGGCACCAAGAAAGGTGTTGGGGGTCCCACGGGCACGATGTTGGGGACCTGGACTCCTGCCCCTACCCTCAAGGCGGACTGGAGCAGGCAGCTGGGAGAACCCCGTGGTTCTGTACTGGGAAGACCAGGCTCTTGAAGAATCCAGCAGAGAGGCTTGGAGTGGTGCGTGATCATAGAATCCTTGAATCACAGAGTTGGAAGGGGCCATAGAGGCCATCTAGTCCAACCCCCCTGCTCAATGCAGGATCAGCCCAGAGCATCCCTGACAAGGGTTTGTCCAGACGCTGCTTGGAAGACTGTCAGGGAGGGGAAGCTCACTACCTCCCTGGGCAGCTGATTCCAGAATCATACAATCCTAGAATCACGGAGTTGGAAGGGTCCACAGAGGTCATCTAGTCCAACCCCTTCTGCTCAATGCAGGATCAGCCCAGAGCATCCCTGACAAGGGTTTGTCCAGAGTGGTGGCGAACTTATGGCACGGGTGCCAGGGGTGGCACTCAGAGCCCTCTCTGTGGGCACATGTGCCATCGCCCCAGCCAGGCCCAGACCATCATTAAAGGGTCGAATCCTCTGCCAAATTATTTTAAGTCAATGAAAGCATTTGGGATTGCTTTCCTTACTTTGTTTGGATCATCTTAAGTTAATGTAGGAGTTGTTTTTTTCTAAAGTAAAACCTCAGCATTCAGGTTAAATGGCCGTGTTGGCACTTTGCGATAAATAAGTGGGTTTTGGGTCGCAGTTTGGGCACTCGGTCTCTAAAAGGTTCGCCATCACTGTCCTATGGTCTTATGTCTGGGGCAGGTGATGCTCTGTATTCTTGGTGCCTGGGGGGGGGCACAGTGGGAGGGCTTCTGGAGTCCTGGCCCCGCTGGTGGACCTTCTGATGGCTTCTTTCACGTTCTTCCGCCCGGCAGGCTGGAGGTGCCAGCCGAACCTGCTGAGCCCCCCAGCCCACGTCCAGCTCCAAGGGCAGATGCCCCCCCCCACCCTGCACCGCCCTGCTTGGTACGAACACAGAGGCAGAGGCTGTGCGACCCACGTCCAGCCAAGAGGGCAAAGACACGGACCAGAGGGCCCCTTTGGCCCCGGAGGGGCAGAACAACCGCCTCACATGCCGACAGTTACCTTTCCCAGGTCCACTGCCAGAGGATTTGCTTTGTGCTTGTGATGATCCGGCGTAGCCTCCTTTGCTGTAGTCTCCAGCGGCCGGTCCCTGCGTCAGGTCATCGTAGCCTGACGGGAGAAAGAGCCGTTGGGGTTAACCGACATAGCCGCACTCGCCTCTTGGGCACCACGTAATGCGGCTGGAGCATGAGGGCGGGGGATTCAGCTGTACGCTTCTGCAACACCAGGAAGCCTGGCTGGTGGTGTCTTGCCCGCCCCCCCGATCCGACCCCTCCACCTACACCCCCTCTGGACTGCTGCTTTCAGGACAAAGGAGGATGGGTGGCTGCCCTGAAAGCTCAGTGGAGAAAGGACAGACCGGAGACAATAAGCACGCACACACACGCACACACAGAAGAAGATAGTATCGGAGGGTAGACATGTTGGTCTCCAGCAGAACAGCAGAAAAGAGGAAGGGTCCAGGGGCACCTTAAAGGCTAACCAAATTTGTGGCAGGGGAGGAGCTTCCCTGAGTCACTGCTCACTTCTTCAGATACAGCAAGAATTGGGAGTCCATCTGTCGTATATATCAGAAAGCGGGGTGGTTTCAGATGCCGAATGACTACAGCAGGTGAATGACAATAGCGGGTGCGCGACTGGATTAGGTGTGATATGCAGAGGGGTAGCAGGCATGGAGAAATCAACATTGGTAACGAGACAGGAAACCTAGGTCTTGATTCGGTCCGGGACGATGCAGTAGAACAGTTAGATCGGAGTCCAGGAGCACCTTAGAGTTTCGGGGTGAGAGCTTTCAAGAGGCAACGCTCCCTTTGTCAGACACAGTACAACAGAAGTCGAGATCTGACTCCTTTCATCTGATTTATCCGATCCCAGCTTTTTGAAAAGGGGGGCTGGTCAGAGAAAAGGAGTCAGATCTCCGCTTCTATTGCCCCGTGTCAGACAAAGGCAGCTTTGCCTCTCGAAAGCTGACTCCTTGAAACTCTCATTGGTCTCAAAGGTGCGACTGGCAACGAAGGTGTTTCAAAGGCCTTCCCCCTGCAACAGGTCTTTCACATGCAGGGAACCCAACAGACCTTGTTGCTCTGCCCACCTTACAAGCTTTTGCAAGCAGAACTTTTTGAGGGATGGGAAACTCCGTGCAGCCGAGGCCGTGGTTGGTTAACAGAGACGTCTTGTTGAACCGAGGAGCCAGCCCCCTCCTGGGGTACCAGCTGCGGCAAGAGGGGTCCAGTGCAATGTTCCCTCTAAGCTGAGTTAGTGTGAGCTAGCTCACTGTTTTTTAGCCTACAGCTCACACATTTTTGTCTTAGCTCAGGAAGGATGTGGCTCCAGAGCAAGCTAATTTATGCCGTAGCCGAATCGGTCGCTCACAACTTTAATGCCAGTAGCTCACAAAGTAGAATTTTTGCTCACAAGACTCCACCGCTTAGAGGGAACATTGGTCCAGAGCACCCCCTGCTCACCTTCTGGAGGGCAAGTTCTGTGCCCCAAAGGGTCAACACAGAGGTCACACCAGGGAGACTGGATCTCTCCCGCAATGGTCCACAGGGCAGCAGCTGCCACAAAGGGACCCCGACTGGGAAGCAGGGGCAGGGCCTTAACCCTTGTCTACCCAGCACAGTTTCACCCACTGTTAGCTAAGGAAAACGGAGAAGGCAAAGAGGGGGTCCCGCTTGTCTTTTACGGGGGGGGGGGGCAGTCTGATGGGCAAGGGCCCAGGGCTGCCACCGCTGGCTTGGGAAATTCCTGGAGATTTTTTGGGGGTGGAGCCTGGGGAGGGCGGGGTTTGGGGAAGGGGGGGACTTCAGTGGGGTACGGTGCCGTGGAGCCCCCCCCCCAGCGCAGCCCTTTTCTCCAGGGAAGCTGATCCCTGCAGTCCGCAGAACTCGGCTCAACAGACAGAAGAGCCAACGGCCCAAAACTCCCGCAAACCGGGCAGACCTTGCCGGCTTCTTCTTTCAGACACCTGGCGATGGCCGAGCGCGGCCGGGACGGGGCTCCGACACCATCCAAAAGCTCACCATCACCCCCTCCGCCGAGGGCCTGGAAGCCGCCTGGGCGTGGCAGCTGGAGCAGGATTCCCGGCGAAGATCGCCGCTGGCCGGAGGGTTCCTGCAGGTGGGGCCTCCAGGCACACAGAGACAACCTGCCTCAGGCAGCCCCGAGCGACAGGCCTCCGGGTGTTCCTCTTTCCTTTGGCCTCACACAGAACTCCCCCCCCCCTCTCGAAATAAACTCTCTCCACTCCCTGACGCAACTTATCCGGAGCGGAAGAGGGAGCTTTCTCTAGTGCAAGCCATTTCAAGGGCAGCAGGGCCTCAGCGAACCCCATGGACGTGGGGCAAGGCTCCCTCTGAGCTGTGGAGTCTTGTGAGCGAAAATTCTACTTTGGGAACTCCTGGCATTAAAGTGGTGAGCGAGTGATTCGGCCGCCACATACATTCGTTTGCTCTGGAGCTGTCCTTCCTGAGCTGAGACAAAAATGTGTGCCCTCGCTAAAAAAACTGTGCGCTCGCTCACACCAACTCAGCTTAGAGGGAACACTGAGTCGTGGGGCAAGCACTGAGAAAGCCCCGTGTACCAGCGCAGCTTCCAGACGCTTCTGGCCAGGAATTTCTCGGAGACGAGCGGGAGGAGTCGGAACTCCCACCACACAGCTGCCTTCTGTGACGTCACACGAGCGACGGGCGCTCCCCCTGCCTTGAGCGCCCATCGGTTCGCACAGCAGGCAAAACTCCGCACGGCTGCACGAGCCACTGTTACCTGCCCCGTAGCCATGCTGACCGTAGCCGCTCGCCTGCTGGAAGGGTGTGGAGGCGGCGTTCAAGCTGACGCTGTGTTGCTTGGCCGATGCAGGAGGGACCTGCCGAAAGAGAGGAAGAGGAGAAGGTCATGTCAGGGCAACAGCTGCAACTGCAAGGAGGAGGAGGAGGAGATTGGATTCATACCCCGCCCTTCACTACCCAAAGGTGTCTCAGAGCGGCTTACAAACTCCTTTCCCTTCCCCTCCCCACAACAGACACCCTGTGAGGTAGGTGGGGCTGAGAGAGCTCTGACAGAAACTGCTCTTTTTCAAGGACAGCTCTTGTCAGGGCTTGCCCAAGGTCATCCAGCCAGGTGCAAGTGGAGGATTGGGGAATCAAACCCGGTTCTCCCAGATTAGAGTCTGTGCACTTAACCACTACACCAAGCTTCTAATGTTGCCAAGAAGAGACGGCCAAAGCAGGCCTTGTGGCTACAGTGGGTCTTTGGGGCACTCTGCCCCCTTTCTTAAAGGCACAGCCCCAAGAACTTCTCCTGTAAATGCTTCCCTCCCCCCAATCATTTAAAAACATTATTAAAAAGGTGTGCGCTCCTTTAAGCAGAGCGGGGTGTTGCAGTTGACTAATTTCTGCACTGAGCAAGGGAGTTGGAGTAGGTGACCTCTAGGATCCCTTCTACTTCTGTGTCAAGAAACTG